AAATAAGCCTGTTGTAATATCTATTATATCTACAGCACGTCTCAACACACTGCTATATATATCTTCGTACGCTCAGAAACATTGATATTGATTATTTCCTTAAGTTACAACTTGATTAGTTCACGCATTTGATATTGATCATATGACGACTGAGGTAAACTGAATATTCACAAATGTATTCCAGCCATTTAAGTTTCGAGGAAGGCTTTGGAATGTGCTAGATCGTGTTATTAATACCGTTCAGCCCCTTTTCCTGTTGCTAAGAAACGTTGGGAAAGCAATCTGACACTTGCTATCCTCGGTTGTTATGGAAGTGCACTTAATGACCTTTGGCTTTCCACCTGGCTACCACGTTGGTATGCAATGGGAGAAAGTCGCAAAACCTAGACTTAAAATTGACACTCATTATAAAATGCTAATACTAATTCTAATATGATAGTCATAAGTTTTTAAATTTTGTAATAGATGATTGTAATTACTTTTATTTTTTCATTCAGGTGTCGGAACGAAAGGTAAAAATCAAATTCATTCATGGGTTGTAACAATTGGTGCAGATGATATTTTCTTTTGGGAGAGTTTAAATGGAAACAGGTAGAAATAAAAAAGAAATATAATTGTGTTTATATGGAATTTAGTTTATTTTATTAGATATCAACATATTTCTATTGATCCAGATGCTCCTCCACTTGATAAATTATCATTAAATAATATTCGTCATCCATATAAAACTATTGGCTGTTTATTTAATGATAAATCGTTTTATGCAAATGTACAAGTATGAAAATGATATCGAAATAATTGATATTAAATTCGATTAATTTTTATTTTAGCCAACATGTAATGTTGATACAAGTGTATTTCGTTTAACAGATCAATCAAAATGGAAAGCAATGTCAGTTGATGCAATTGCATCAGTAAATACTCCTGGTCTTGTTCTTACAGCGCCAATGATGCCTCATTTAATGAGCAATACACTTGATCCAGTTGCATTATCAAATGATATTGAAAAACAAATTCGAGCTTTGATTATTCAACATAGAAAAGTAAATAAAAGAAAAACTTAATTCCTTTTGAAAAAACAATTGGAAATTCATTGTTAATATACTTTGTTATTTTAAATACTTCAAATTCATTCAAAAAAACAAAAAAAAAAGATACATAATTCATGCAGGAGAAAAATTCAGAATAGTTATTTGATTAATTCATTGTGTTTCGTTTGTAAACATGATTGATATCTTATCCATTACTCGTAAGAAGTCACCTTTTATTTACATATTTATAACAAAAAGACAACTGATAGACTAAAATATTATTTTTGTTTGAAAAGAATATCATTCATTATTTTCTTTCTTGATTAAAATTTATGTATCAACAGTTAATCTCATCTTGAGATTCTCTTGTCATTTTCTTTGATATTTTCGAAAGGCGCGAAACATGATAATGTTCCAGTTCACAGTGAATATTTTAGAATTCTCTAACTTCTTTCGTAGACAGTCTTAGATGAATATAGTTTGCCTTTTCGTACATATAGAGTATTGATCTTATAGAGAGTTTTCAAACATTCTTCGATTGTTAGACTACAGAATCTCTATTGTTTATAGAGTCTGTCGATTTTATCTCGAAACGACCCAACGAGTCATACTCTAAAAGTATAATTTGATTATTATAAAATCACCGTCAAGATTTTCTGAGAAATGTGTAAGATGTGTGCTAGTAACAGAATGCAGAGCGACTATAAGATTCAGACTAAAATAAATTCGTTGAAATAAGAAGTACGGTTCAAAATCTGAACCCAGACTCGATCGAACTGTACTTTGATAATCTCAATGAAATCTTCTAATCGGAATAAGATAGTCACTCCGAAGACATTGAGATACTTGTTTTCTAGTTTTTTGTATTCGCTGACTAGCGTACCCTACATATTTCTCAGACGACTGAAATTCGACCGTTCTGAACCCGGGACTAACCCAGTCGTGTTCGGATTCGGTTTCGAAAGCAATCCGACGGGCTCTAATTTTGTATTACAATGTTTATTTTTTTCGATCTTTATTCATTGCTGTAAGTTCTTTCTAATATTGCGATAAGATTTGTTTGATAAAATTGAAATGTTTTAAAATGTATTTAGGATCTTGGTTATACAACACAATTTGATGATCATTTATCATATTTATTAAGCCCAGCACTTTCTTCATATGAATTAGAACGTGTTACAGGTTTATCTGTTGGTAATGAAGAATTTCAAGAAGCTGTTCGACGAGCTGTACCTAATGGACATGCTTTCAAAGGTTTTCCAATTCAATTTGTTCATAAAAATGCACGAAAAGCATTTGTTTTTAGTTTAAAGTAAATTTATATATATATATATATATATATATATTAGATATTTTATTATCGTTCGTTTTTTTATATAGAAATAATTTATGTGAAGAAATTGTTTGTTGTCATGGAGATCAAGTACGTTTAGCTGTTCGTGTACGTGTATTTACCTATCCAGAAAATGCTCTCGCTACTTGGATGATGTTTGCTTGTCGTTATAAAAGTGTTGGCTCAACGAAGTATTAAATGTGCAAAAAACATCGCCAATTAGATGTAGCGTGTTGTTTCATTTCTTTTTCTTTTTTTGTATTGCTTGAATACTACAATTTTATTGAATATAGGGTCAACAATAAACTACGGATAATACTTTTAAAAAAAACCAACGGACAATATATATATGATCTACTTGTAAGCTGAATTAAGATATACTATAAGAGTTTTATATTGTTGCATACTAATAGAATCATTGGGAAAATATGAAAGATTACAAATTGATTGATTTGTTTTTTTGTTATATTTGTTCTCTACCAATTGATTTTGCAGCTTGTTGATCAACAAAAGCTGATGAATATTGAGCACCGGTAGTACTTATTGGTTCGAATGAAGCTGTTTCAATACCACCTAATGAACCATGATGTGTATCAGGTAATGATAGATCTTTTTGTGTTGATATTGAAGATTTTCTATCACTATCTGATGCTTGTTTTTGACCACCATGTGCATCTAAAAATTTACCACGATCTGGTAAACCTAAATTGAGCTTATCATTTAATGCTGTTGTTTTAGCATCGGGTAATAACCCAGGTTTACTGTTACTTGTACTAATATAAGTATTTCCTTCATTTTGTTGTCTACCTGTTATTTCACGAACTTCCTCATCATTAGCATCCGAATATTTTCGTTCATGTTCAGGTCCATTAGTAGATGCAGCATGATCAGTATCTTTTTGAACTTTTTTCTTCATTGGAAGAAGACGAACTGAATCAGCACGTTCCAAATGTGGTGCACCATATGATTCAGGAGTCAGTGGTGGTGTTTTTGGTTCAACGTATGGCTTAATTTATGAAAAGAAAGCTTTAATCAGTTTTTCAAATTGAATTATATTCTTATG